GAAACTATTTCACTAGGAGGGCGGTGAAACTATTTCACTAGGAGGGTGGAATGCGTGACCTAGGGAGGTGGTGGAGTCTCCTTCCTTGGAGGTTTTTAAGGCCCGGCTTGACAAAGCCCTGGCTGGGATGATTTAGTTGGGAATTGGTCCTGCTTTGAGCAGGGGGTTGGACTAGATGACCTCTTGAGGTCCCTTCCAACCCTGATATTCTATGATTCTATGATTTTGTGCCTCAACTGCACAGAGCTCAGACAGAGCCATTGGGGGTAGGAGGAGGGGGGGGGATCTATAAGTGACCTAAACTAGCTTTTCTGTACTAAAAGCATCACAGTTTGAAAAGTGCAAAATCTTGGAAAGTTCCATTCCTAGAAGAAAGTGATGCATGTCCCTTTGGGAATTCTTCCCTTGCTAATTATATAAACCTCTGATATCTTGTAACAATGAAGAACAAGTAAACAGACCTTAAGCCTTTAACTAGTGCAGGCCTGAATTTTGCCTATCTTGGGCCTTGGGCAGTTTAATTTGAGAAGAAATTCCACAGTGAGGGGAAAACAAGCATTAATTTCTCTGTTAGGGTGAAGTTTTGGGGTTGTTAGATTTTTTGTTTTGTTTTTAAAATGACAGTTGTTTCAAGCTTCTCAGAGGGTTTGGCATGTGAAAATAAATTCAAGAAGAAATGGATTAATGGGAAGACGGCATGTGAGAAGGCCAAAGGGGCGTGATAAATAGGGAATACATGGTAAAGGTTTGATTGGCCTGAGACTGGTATTGTCACTCAGGAATGGGACTCTTTTGTATCCCTTCATGTGCAAAAATAATGCATTAGTCATTGTGAGTCTAACTGAGCAGGACTCAGAAGGAAAAAGTTTAGAAGTGTAAAACATCTCTTAAGAGCACCTAAGATAGCTTTTTGGTACATAAAGTCACAACTTTAAATGTCGCTAACTTGGACACGTTAGAGCAGTGATTCTCGAACTTTTGTATTGGTGATCCCTTTCACACAGCAAGCCTCTTGGTGCAACCTCCGCCCCTTTATAAATTAAAAACACTTTTTTTATATTTAACCCTATTATAAACAAACCCAGTGTATGGGGTGGAGGCTGACAGCTCGTGACCCCTAAGTAATTACCTTGCAACCCCCTGAGGCCCGCAAGTTTGAGAACTCTTTCAGTTGAAAATTGTGTGGCCCACTGAGAAGAAGGGACAGCTCTGATTTCCAATGGTAGAAATGTTCTGCTTCAGTGCTGCAGGGGTAAAAGTTATCACACTTCAGAATCATGGCATCAATTTGTTTAGAAAAGCTGTTACTGGCCCAAAAGCTGAATTTGTCTCATTGTGAGCTGCAGGCAGGGGTATTTTGGGGGGAGAAGGAGGAGAAAACATTCTTTAAAGAAAGTTGGATGTTTGAAGCTGTTGAGATTAGAATGTTAGACTAAGTCTCAGGGAGACGGATTAGTGGGCAGGCAGTCTGGCAAAAAGCATGTGATAAATTGCGGAGTTATATGGGAAGTGCATTTATCACAAGCCTAAGCAATTTGTTTGAGGCCTGTCCAATTTATCACATCCTCATGTGAGCTGCATATGTTAATAGTACACAGTCTACATGCATACAAATGTTAGTGGAATTCCACCCCAGCCCCACTACCACCAGCTATACCATAATCATTTAGCTAGTTAGGCCAGTACAGTAGTAAGGCACAGTACACACAGGCATATCATGTGTACTTTTTCTGTAATAAATAATTTTCACACAGAGGAACACTGCAAGCATTTCCTTAAAACTAGTTTACTTCCGTTTACCTGCCTCTGATAGGAGCTGTGCCCACAGAGGTGGTTTAGTGCTGCTTAAATTGCCTTATTAGACTGTATTTTACATACTGACTAGCTGTATATTGACGATTTCAGATGAGTTTTTAAAAAAGGGAAACTTTTGTTTTCCTTTATACACTAGCAAGACCTGTGTTTTTTCTATGACCAGGACCTCACCCTTTCTACATGACATCATACTGATAGCTACTTCTAGCAGGGCAATGAAGGTTGTGATCAGTTAATTATGAAACATAAGTTTACAAGTTGTGATGTGTGCAGAAGACCTGGTATCTTCATAACATAAGCTTGCTGTACTCTGTAGCGCTTATAAACCATTCATCCATGATGCTGTGTCATTTAATCAGCAGTGGGATGTTTTATCGTATGCCCTAGATAAGCATTTACGGGTGTTATAAGGACAGAAATGCTTTAGTTAGGATAAGGATATATAATAGCTGATAAATATATAATACAATACATTTAAAAACATTTTAATGTACTGTGTATTGTCCCTGTGAGCATATTATGGTATGTGTTTCTGCAGTGAACTTGCTCTTTGCAAAAATAATTATACATGCAAGGTACCAAACTCACACAGCCCTAAGGAACAGTATACCACCATGTGGCAAAATAATTTGTCTGTATAACAGACAACCCCTTATAAAGACTTGAGAACAACATATTTAGGTACTATATAAAGACTCTCTTTCAGGCTCCCATGTGACCTGCACACAAACAACAGTTGTATGGTAATTGAATTTTGGAGACTTAGCTAAAGTCTTGATGAAATGCCTGCAATTGTCCTAGTTAGACAGCAGCTGATCATATCTGTTCTCATTTATTTAGATGCAAATACATTTGAAACATATCCCAGGCCCTACCCTTGCCACTATTTAAAATATATATTACAATACTAAAGATATAGCACATACCCCGTTGCCACCTGGCAGCAGAACATTACAAACTGAAACCTCCCCTTCCTTGATTTCCTCCCAAAAAACCTATACCTAGAGCCCCTGAGCCCTTTCCAAATGCCTGGTAAAAAAAGATAGACTTTGCAGCCTGGGTGAATCCATGAAAAATAAAACCAAAGAAAATGTTTACACAAACCTTCATGAAGCAAAACACTCATGTTTCATTCAGCTTTCTTTGCTATGTGGGGATAATCACGTAGACAGATTCAAGCCTTTTCACAAGCTAGTACATTGTTTTACACTGCAAGTAGGTTGCAGTGTGCCCTCGCTAACTGCAAAATGCCGCCTACCTTTGAAAGCTTAGCATGGCTTATGCCACAACATTAATCAGCATTGTCTCTTCTTAGTTTCCCAACATCCTGAATATCTGAATGTTGTTTTCATAGAATCACAGAATATTAGGGTTGGAAGAGACCTCAAAGCAGGACCAACACCCACTAAACCATCCCAGCCAGGGCTTTGTCAAGCCGGGCTTTAAAAACCTCTAAGGATGGAAATTCCACCACCTCCCTAGGTAACCCATTCCAGTGCTTCACCACCCTCCTAGTGAAATAGTGTTTCCTAATATCCAACCTAGACCTCCCCCACTGCAACGTGAGACCATTGCTCCTTGTTCAGTCACCTGCCATCATTGAGAACAGCCAAGTTTCATCCTCTATGGAACCCTCCTTCAGGTAGTTGAAGGCTGCTATCAAATCTCCCCTCACTCTTCTCTTCTGTAGACTAAATAACCCCAGTTCCCTCAGCCTCTCCTTGTAAGTCATGTGTCCCAGCCCCCTAATCTTTTTCGTTGCCCTCTGCTGGACTCTCTCCAATTTGCCCACATCCCTTCTGTAGTGGGGGGACCAAAACTGGACACAATACTCCAGGTGTGGCCTCACCAGTGCTGAGCAGAGGGGAATAATCACTTCCCTCGATCTGCTGGCAATGCTCCTACAAATACAGTTGAATATGCCCTTGGCCTTCTTGGCAACAAGGGAACACTGCTGACTCATATCCAGCTTCTCATCAACTGTAATTCCCATATCCTTTTCTGAAGAACTGCTGCTTAGCCAGTCAGTCCCTAGCGTGTAGCAGTGCATGGGATTCTTCCTTCCTAAGTGCAGAACTCTGCATTTGTCCTTGTTGAACCTCATCAGATTTCTTTTGGCCCAATCCTCCAATTTGTCTAGGTCTACCCTCCAGCATATCTACCTCCCTGCCCAGTTTAGTGTCATCTGGAAACTTGCTGAGGGTGCAATTAATCCCATCATCCATATCATTAATGAAGATGTTGAACAAAACTGGCCCCAGGACCAACCCCTGAGGCACTCCGCTTGACACCGACTGCCAACTAGACATCGAGCCGTTGATCACTACCCATTGAGCCCGACAATCTAGTCAACTTGCTATCCACCTTATAGTCCATTCATCCAGCCCATACTTTTTTAACTTGCTGGCAAGAATACTGTGGGAGACCATATCAAAAGCTTTGCTAAAGTCAAGATATATCACATCTTTATATATGTATTGCTTGGCCATCATTTTTACAAATGATGGGCCTATTCCAGATGTCACTCAAATCTAGGAGAGCTCAATGGTTTGGTCCATTAGGCCCGTGTATCTAGATAACTTTATACAATCAGTAATTGCCCGACATGGCTAAGTGGCTCCAACGGAACTGATCCCTAAATCTAAAAGAACTGACACAAAGGCAATATTTTATGGTGTACACAGCACATGGCCTTTCTATGCCTGTTAGGGATGCTGTTACCCAAGTTTTTCAGTATGTGATTGTGACAGGGGCTGGGTTTACCAGTGGTGCCACTTTGTGGTTTGCTCCCTGGGCCCTAGCTCTCCTCCATCTCTGGCATCCTTGAGCAGCTGTGGGGATCCACCTTTTGGTAGGTTGACTCCACCCTCAAGCCAGGTCACCAGCTGAGTTTGCCCCCTTCTGGGGTATCAGAGTCTAACAAAGTATATATAGTCCAAGGTTCCCACAACAGAAAGGGTCTTCCACACTTCTATGGGTCCCTATGGATTTATACCCTTGACACGGGGCTCACAGAATCTATACTTTCGTCTTATCTCCAGAGGTTTAGGGCTGCGGGAGGGTAGGAGGGGGAGAAGAGAAGAGTGGCTGGTAGGGGAGCCTGGTTCCTCCCTCTACCCTGTGCTCTAACCCAGAGCCCTATGAGTGGCAGCAGTTAGCAAACAGTGGAGTGCTTTGAGGCTGCCTCCCTAGGTCACTTCCTACCACTCACTAGCCCACAAGGTCCTAAAGTCCAACAGAAAATAACAAAAACAGCTGAATCATCCAGCAGGTCTCAGATGGTGACCTTCTTTGCAGGCCAGCCCCCAGCTTCAAACTGGCCCAAGTTCCTGGTTATAATCCCCTTGCCTGGGGTCTGTCATACTTCCCCTCTCTAGTAGGATTCCAGGCAGGCTGCAGACTCTGAACAGCTCATCTCTAGTCAAGCTCCCAGCTCAGGACTCTACATCCCAGGCTTCTCTCAACCAAGAGAAAAAAGCTCCCAGCTATCTCTCACCTCGGTGTCCTTCTTGGATCTTCTTCTGTGGCCTGTGGAGGTGGGAGGGTGCTGCTTGCAGTAAGGATTTCTGCTGTATTGTACTCGGAGCTCTAAAAATGGGCCTGTCCTCCTACCCTTCTAAGCAATTTGGCTCCCTTTCAAACCCCTTCAGCTGGAGCAGGCTCTGTAGATTCAGCAGGGAGGAGTTCCCAGGCCTCAGAACTGCTCCTTAAACCCTTTTGTCCCAGTATGGAATTCATACACCTCATCACAGTGATGTATTTGAGTTTGTCCATCAGCTATTTCATCAACCACAAAAATGTATCATATGACCATGAACACTAATGAACTAACAGATGTTACAATATGTAACTATATGTTTTACAATATGTTTGGTAGTAACAGAGATGAACTATCCCATTTCTACCATGTGAGCCACAAAGGTAAACTAGGGCCTTATACAGAGCTCTTAGAACTCAATGAAAATCTTTCCACTGAGTTAATGAGCCCTCAAATGCATTCAGTGAAGTGAATGGAGACATAAATATGATGGACTTCAGACATTTGGGAAAGATGCCCATCTGCAAATACAATTTGTATCACATACATATGAGAGGATGAAGTGACACAATATGATTTAGATTCCATTGAACAGATCATATACACCTCTTTTGGTTTAAAAGAGAGCAGAACTTTCCCTAAAATTACAATGCACATTTCTTTGTCTTCTATTCATTGTTTACTTGGGAGCTGCTTAGTCCCATCCAAACATCTCTGAGAAATCACATAGCCTTAGCAACATGTTAAAGAATTGACAAGTGCTTTGTAAATCCATGTTTTTTTATCACCGAATGTAAAATTACCAATCTCTGCCTGCATAGCTTCTAAAACTTCATTGGGGATATAATTAGCAAAGACAACGAAAGAGAATCCAATCTTGAGACTGCTGGC